AGCCTGTCTCTCAATAATGTTTTACATATGAAAATGTCCAATAATGTGTTTGTAGTGTGCATGTCTGTAAATGATGGATTTATTGTATCTCCTTTGGCAACATTGTAATTAAAAAAAAAAAAGGTTCTGAGTCTGGATTTGAGCCTGAGCAGGGAAGGTGACTCTCTGATGTCTTGGGGGTCGAGTTGCAGAGCTCTGGGGCTCAGCGAGAGAAGGCCCTGTCACCCATTCAATGTAAATGAGTTTGGGGGGACAGACAGGAGACTAGAATTAGACAAACTAAAGGTTGCAAGGCTAACGGCTGAAAGTAATTCCCCTTTGGGCTTTTAAGACCGGCAGGTAATCCTATCCAGAGCACAAACGTCTGTTGCACGTGTGTAGCACTCCAGTTTCCGGATGTGGTTCAGCTGATACTTCTATGTTGGTTTGCTCTTATCCTTTATACTGCTTTCTGAGGCTCTGATTGCAGGGGAAGCTCATAAATGGGTCAGGCTTCTCATAGCATATTTCTTGCAGCTTGAAATATAACAGCCCTGTAACGTCAGCAGTAAGAGGCTGAGTTGGTGCTGTAAAGGAGGTGGGGAGAGGAGTTTTATTTGCATAGAGAGTCAGCTTGTGGATGCCGCATTTCCGTTGTCAGTCAGCACATCTGCGAGTCGACTGTTTTTTAACACCGTCCTCCTCTTTTCCCCCAAGCCTCTCTGACTTCACTTGTTTTTCGTATCCTTTCTTTCACAGATTTCACATGCTTTGTCCCGCAAGGAATGAAGGAGCCATTCAAACGTTCCCTCTGATTTTTAATGGCCTGTGTGCGCAAAACTTTCAAGTTGTGCAATTTTTTTCCCCCCAGTGACAGAAACATGTGCGCACTAAATTGAGTGTATGTAAAACTGTCAACCTGAAATTGTTTTTTTATCAATATTGTCATGCTCATAGAAGCAGAGACATCTAAAAGACCGGGGCAGCGACTCCACAAGCCCAGTCATGGAGACTGAGTGAGCCATGAGGTACGAGACTAGGAGAGCAAAGATACCGCTGATTGATCGAGTAGCAATAATAATGCACACAGCCAAGCTGGGCCTCTTGCAGCCAGTCTCCTGTGGTCAATCTAGCATTTTTCAATTGCCGACCATGTTTATTTTATTATTAGCATATTTCGGGGGGAATTTATTTTTTTGTGCGCAGTTCAATTTCCTCTGTGCACTGACTTCTTCACCTGTGTGCGCGCCCACACGTGCACGGCCTAGAGGGAACATTGGAGCCATTTGTAGTAGCTAGTTAATGCTCCAGAAAGGATGCAGGCTGGCGTCTGATGTTCCACGATCATATCATCCATCCTCCTGGGCCTTCCGTTTTCTCACCACTACTTCCCACACGGGGCCAGCGGGGAGCCAGAGCCTCTCCCAGCAAGCAACAGGGCCCAGGGCACGGTTGACGGGGCACACCCACACTCACACTCACACCAGCGAGCCAGTTTTCCCACAAGCCAGTTAACCCACCAGCATGCTGTGGTGCCCTTGCCTGGCGTTGCGGCTGAAGTGCACAGTGAAAGGCAGGGCGGGGATAGTAGTGGCCAGGGCGGGGACGAGGGGAGCCACTGGCCAGTGCCGCTGACCATCCAGAATGGGTGTTCATTGTGGAAAGGTGGCCCAGCTTAATGTGAAGTAGTTTGCACCCCTTTTATACCTGTACCCACTTACCACCCTATACCCACGGACCTGTACCCGAAATGACCCTAGTGTGATGTAGCCTACTTTGGTTTGTCTTACGTCTGTTGCTGTGCCGGACACATGTCCGACTAATAAAGTGCCGAGTTCTTGTCTCCATCCTCGACGAACTACAATGTAAGATCACTTTATTGGCCATATACAATTTCTTGCAGTAGGAATTTGTCTTTTTGCAGACCCCAGCTTGCTCTCCATGAGACACACAGGCAGGGAGAGAGAAGCTGGAGGTCAGAGCGCAGGGTCAGCCATTTATACGGCGCCCCTGGAGCAGGTGGGGTTAAGGGCCTTGCTCAGGGGCCCAACAGAGTAGGATTCCTCTACCTGCTGCAGGATATGAACTGGCAACCTTCCAACAACAGGCGCAGATCCTGAGCCACAATGCCACTGCTCCGCCCAATATCTTTGGACTGTGGGAGGAACGCTAAGTGAACAAGGGGAGAACATACAAGCCTCATGCAGATAGTACCACCCACTGTATTATCGGCTCATAAAGCAGCTGTGAAGTGTGTTTTTGTGTGTGTCTGGGCAGTGTTCTAAACTCAATCATTTCCAGAGCCCATGTGGTGAGCTACTGTTACCTGTCCCCTTTTCACATCAATTTCCGTTCGGGATCAATAAAGTCTTATCTATCTATCTTCATCATGAAAATCTGCAGAACGTGTACAATTAAATGTCTGCACAGCTGCCTGACTTTTTATTTGAAACGTGCACTCCTGAAGACCAAAAGAAAAGGTCGGACCCTGACAGCTCATTTATGGCGACCGCTCACCCCTTCAGCGCATTGGAAAAAAAAATAATTCAGGCACCATTAGTCTTGGACTCATCATTTTGAAATTAAGAAAATCCTAGCAGTAAGATACTGTATAATAGCCGTATTCAAATAGTTTAATAACAGCAAAGAAAAATGGACCCAGCCAGCACGTCTCTGAACTACAAGAGGAGGCCATAGCACCCGGAAAAAACACACAAACTCAAAACCCAAGGAGTTTATTTGATGTCATCGATTCATTTTCTGCATTTATGCACTGCATTATAATAATCAAACGTGCTCACAATGATCTGCTTTCTCACCCATTCATTATTAGGTGGAAACCACAGTGTGGCCTCATTCTGCTTTTCCGTTCCCAGGCAGTAGGTGTGAAGTACTGCATGGTGCTCTCTACCACTGGATCACTGTATAAAATATCCACTTTGTATGACCCTTGATTAGTAAAGCACGTCTTAAGCTTCTTTCAGTAAGATAAGATGTAACTTTATTGTCCATCCAAAAGGGTCTTTGGTATCACATACATCTAAAACGACAAAAAAAAACATACAGCCGGCAGCTGTACCAACCTGCAGCTGGCGGCCCCACTGAAGCTCAGCCGGTGTGAGCCTGGTCAGTACCTGGATGGGAGACTCCTAATGCTAAGGTTGCTGCTGGAAAAGGTGTTAGTGGGGCCAGTAGGGGGGCACTTACTGTACCTTGCAGTCAATGTGGGTGCTAATATCAGTATTGTGATGAGGACACTATACTAAAAAAAAAAAGTGCCGTGCTTTGGATGAGATGTAAAATCGAGGTCCTGTCTTTCTGTGGTCATTAAAAATCCCAGGGTGTTTCTCGAAAAGAGTAGGGGTGTTACCCCAGTGTCTTGGCCAAATTTCCCCGTGGTCTTTACCAGCCATGGTCTCCTAATAATCCCCCTCTCTGAACTGGCTTCATCCCTCTGCTCTCCTCCCCACTGAGAGCTGGTGTGTGGGGAGAGGACTGGAGCATCATCCAGGTGGGGCTGCACACTGGTGGTGGTAGTGGGATTCCCCATTACCTGTAAAGCTCTTTGAGTGGAGTGTCCAGAAAAGTGCTACAATGTTTAAGTTTAAGCAATTATTATTATTAAAAACAAATAACACTCAACATGAAATAAATTCACCGTAAAAACAAGCAATAATCTTAGACATGCAACAATACATACAATATACAGTACACACATCTCTCTCTGCCCATATTACAGTGCCATTACACATAATCCAATAGCTTCATATAGCAAACACTACCTTAGCTGCATTCAATATACCAATTGCACAGGACCCAAGAGATGTTTACGTTGTAATTATTTTATCTGCAATATTAACAATTCTGGCACATTTCCCCACCATACCGCACTGTGATACCAAAATTAAGGATGGTTTCTACTCAGATTCTATAAACCCCCTCCAGAACTTTTTGACTCACCCCAAGCTCTTTCAACTTCCTGATCAAAACTATACGCTGCCTAGCCTTCTTAAAAATAGAGTTGGTATTCTTTGCAAAGTTTAAAGCGTAATCTGTTACTGTTTCTAGGTATTTGAAACACTGGTGACAAAACACAGCCCTGGGGAATACCGGCATTTTAAAGAATTTCATTTGAAAATGCACAGTATTATTCACAAGATCCCGCTGTGGGCAATCTGTTAGAAAATCCTAAACCCAGTTTATAAATCTCCTATTAACAGGAAAACCTCAACAGCCATTCCAATTCCATGTGGATCTGGATCATATTAAAATGCTAAACAAAAATCAATAAATAAAAAATGTGCATATGACCGTGCCTGTTGAAGATGACTATCTACTGAATTCACTTAAGTCAAAGCTGCATCTTCAGTCCCCTAAGTTCTTTATAAGCAATTTGCAACGGATCCAGAAGATCGCCAATCGACAGGATTGGATGTTTATAATTAACCCTCCCCATGAACATAGCCAATAGGGGGGTCAGTAAGTCACTTACTGCTTTGGCCTTAGGTTTTCAATACAGTGCTTGAAGTTACTGAGTTAGAACTCCTCTATGTTCATTGACACATACCTCCGGCACCTTGCCCTGCTTGCCAACTGCGCGAGGTGTCTTGTGTGGCTCAGTAATTAGGTTAGGTCCTGAGGAATGCAACAGAGGGAACTTGCAGAGCTGAGGGTGAGAAGCAGACTAGCTGTGAGGACCAGACGGCCCAAACACCCCTCACTATCGTGATGAATTAAATTAAATTCAATTTATTTTTCATATAGTGCCTTTCACAACACGGTTGCCCCAAGGCACTGAACAAAGCTGTGTGACCATACATGACGTTACACTACAGACAGAGAAAAAGCCAGAAGACAATGGAGGAGAGAAACCAAAAACTCCTCGGTAAGGAGAAAAAAAACCCTCCAGGGGTCCACGGTCAACTGGCTGCCCAGTTGGGCATGCTAACATTACACAATTCACAAAAAAGTACTAAGTGTGGAGTATTAAGTCTTCCATTATGTCCTTCTGTGTGCTAGTACTCCATGCAGATCTCTGAAGACCAGCTAATCCTCCTAAACCATAGCGGTATTCGCAATGTCCATCTATGGCAGTGATGCAGCATCCAACTCAGATGGTGCCCAGCCCATGCGCCATCCGGACATGTAGTGAGGAGAATAGGATGACAGATGAGCCAGGGAGCTACAGCAAAGGTGTAGATAGGCTGGTCAGCGGGGTGCGAGAGGCAAGTCTGGTGTGGGAGATATTAATATAGACATAGGAGAGTAGGATCTGACCTTCCTTCCATTCTTGTATTCTAAACTTCATATCTTGAGGTCTGCGGGCACATCACTGCGAGCTGTTAACTGTGGACTTTCTCATCCATCGAAAACATGGTAAAGAGTCCAGCATTTTCTTCCTGGTGTCCCTGTAGATGAAGATGTAGATCATGGGGTCCAGGAGAGCGTTGACGCTCAGCAGGCCTATGGAGATCTGATACGAGGTGAACACCCTCGCTTTGAAGTCGCACTTGTCCGCGGCTGCGAGGCTGCCCGCGTAGAGGACGACTTTGACGAAGTGGTAGGGCCCAAAGATGAGCAGGAACAGGAGCACAATCAGGAGCAGCAGGCCGGAGATCCTCCTCTTCTCCTGCTCTGGGAAGGAGAGGGACTGGGCTAGGCTCCTGTGCACGAGGAGGGACAGAAACACCAGGAGGAGCAGGGGGATGACAAAGACGATGGAGGGGGTCACCAGCTGGAAGATGGCCAATGTCTTACTCCAGTTGTGGGACTCCATGCAGAGTTTGCTGTCCTGAGGCCTCTTGAGAGCAATGGAAACTCCCACAGAAACAATAAGGATGATGAACAGCCACACCGCCAGGCATAGCGCATACACGTTCCTGAGCTTGCGGCAGCCCTGGAACCACAGTGGATGGACGATGGCCAGGTACCTCTCCAGGGAGATGCAGCACATGAATAAGATGCTCACAGCCAAGCTGATGTAGAACACGGAGCCAATGATCTTGCAAGCAATGTCTCCAAAATGCCAAGTGTGGCCACTCTTGAAGTAGTCAATCCAGAAGGGAAGGGTGGCGATCTGGACGAGGTCGGCCAGGAGGAGGTTGATGGCGTAGATGGGGAGGGTGTAGTTGGCCTTGACCAGGCGGTACAGCCCATACAGGGCCAGGCAGTTGGTAGGCAGCCCCATGCAGAAGATACATCCATACAGCACAGGAAGAAACGTCTGGTCAGCACTGAAGTCAATCTTATCACAGCTAGTGAAGTTGGAGTGGTTCATGGTCACCTTTCTCAACCAGTATTGGAGAGGTTAAAGAAATTGCAGGCGATCCAATTTCTTAATAGAAATCTGCTGCAACTCCACAAGTGTGTGTTTTGTCATTCTGCAATATGACAAGGCAGAAGAGAAGAATTTAAAAATGGTTAGTGGGAAATCAAGCTACTGTATGTAAGAGAAGATTTATTCATATTCCAACCAATCACTCCTGATTTGTCCTTGGCACGATCTTCTGGCATGCACTCTGCTGTCAGGCAGATACTGTACCTCTTGGCTGAAAAAAGCTAAAAATGCTTAAGTGACTTCACAGCAGAGGAAAAGGTACCGTCGCTGAAGTGACAGGCAGTTAGAAACTCAGAAGCTTCAGTTAGAAGCCACAACCTTCATGTCACCGAATGACTACTCTCCCTGAACTTTGGATTCTGTCTCAGTGGTCTAAGGTGGGCACAGCAAATAGATGGCAGCCTCTGCTCCTCTTTAACTCTGCCCAGACTCATGTGCTGAATGTCTTAGTGGGATGGTAACAAGGATCAGAGAGAAGGACAAGGGCCCTGAGGCAGCTACTAAGATTTCTCAGCAGTATTCTGTAGGGTAACTTGAAGGTATCGGGTTTTTGAAATACATATAATGGCTGTTCCCATCTCTGATCTAACTGAAGACTTGCTTGGTAACACTTACCTGTCAAGCCTGTCATTTAACTTTCTTTAGTACATCCTCAGTGTAAAACATATCCTACTTCGAGAGCACTGCTTTCAACAAACGTCAGCATACAATTTTCCACAACCTCTCCTCAACTTGCTGTAATTTCGGATTAAAGAGCTCTTACTAGTTGATCAATAGATGAACAGCTACAGGTACAAAGGCCTTCATACCAGGGCTTGAAGTTCGGCATGGAATTTGCAGGTATGCCCCACAATTTTAGTTATTCCCGCAAATCCAGCATTTATAATGCAGGAATTTCTCGCACATATGTTTTGGCAAGCTATCTCCCAAGTAGAATTATCCTAAATCAATCCACATGTATTCTCTGTCAGGCGGTAGTGCCAGATTCGGTGACGTTACACTGTTTGTGTGTTTGCATTGCAAATCTCGCGTACGTTATAGGCGGACAAATAGGGATAGAAAACTGGTCGATTTGGATTCGGAATCAGTTAGCGTTAGGCCAACGCGAAAGCTTAAAAAATTAGCTGGTAAATTTGACCAAAAATGGAGCGTTGGTTGAAAAGAAAGTCTACTTCTGCAGAAGGCGAGAAGAAAAAATGCCCCTGCAACTGAAAAATGCAATGACGGTGGCGAGGAGATTGACGAAAGAAACAAAGAGGAGAAAGCGCTCAAAAATCAGTTTCAGGCAAGTCGGCTGAAAAATATACCCGTGGCTTGAAGTGAACGACAGAGAAATGAGCTGCTCAGTTTGCAACATGTTCAGCAGTGTGAGGTTTACTAGTTGGTGAAAATCATCTACATTGATTAGACACTCAGATGCAGTTGCTCAAAAGAGAGCATGAGACACAATCAGATAACAGTGCTGTGGCTGGTGCAATCGAAGGTGCACAATCGCGTGGTGAGGAAGGGGTTAAGGGGCTACTTAAAGCAGTGTACTTTGCTGCATAAAACGAGTTAGCCGATTCAAATTTTGTTGAAGTCGGGAGATTCTCGGAAGAAATGGAATGTCCTTCTTTGAAGCATCTTAAGGTTGATAGAACAAACTGTGGAAGCTATCTGAATGACAAAGGTTTGTCAGAAATGCATCAAGCTATTGCGAGCACACTCTTAGAAGAGTTACAGTAGGTGCTGCTAAAATCCTGTGTTTTCTTTAATATTGGATGAGCCCACTGATATAAGTAACAGTAAGCAGCTCATTACCCATAAGATCACTTTATTATCCTTATACAATTGCTTGCATTAGGAATTTCTCTTTTTTGCAGACCCCAGCTTGCTCTCCATGAGACACACAGCCAGGAAGAGAGAAGCTTGGGGTCAGAGCACAGGGTCAGCCATTCATACAATGCCCCTGGAGCAGCTAGGGTTAAAGGCCTTACTCAGGGGCCCAACGGAGTAGCATTCCTTTGCCAGCCACAGTATATGATCCGGCAACCTTCCAGCCACAGGTGCAGATCCAGAGCCACAGAGCCACACCACCGCCCCTATGTCAGGTACATACACAGAAACAAGATGAAACCAAAGTTTTTTAGAAACTCCAAAATTGCACATGGAAAGGCAGACACCATTGGACATGAAGCAACTGATGAGCAAAAAAAATAGAAATTAAATGGGAGCAAATGTCGTGCAGTATGCACAAATGGAGCTGCTATTCTGAGAGGAAGCCGCCAAGGAGCTGTTCAAAAAGTCAGAGAAGAATTCAATGCAAAACGAACCGGACTGTTCTGCACAGCTCACCGGCTGGCCCTTGGTGCTAGTGATGCAGCCAGATGTGTGGAACCAGTGAAAAGGTTCCAGCAAGACTTGAGGGCAGTTTATTTGCAGCACGTCTGCTGTAAGAAGCAACAAGCTACAGAAACAGCTGGAGGAGCCAACACTGAAGTTTACTGCATACAGTGAGGTGATTGTCAAGTCAAAGCGCAGTGTCAGTTGGATGCAGACCATTAAAAGCCATGAGAGATGTACTAGAACGCATGGCTGTCCCCAGCACTCAGGACTCTGATAAAGCTAAATATCGTCTTAATGCTGTCAAACAATTCAACTGTGTGGCCTTCTGTCACTTGACGAAAGGTGTGCATGTACTGTAGTCCTTCTCTCAAAGCATTTTCAAAAGGAAGACAGACTTCCCTACAGTCCAACCTGTGGTTCAGTACACTAAAGAGTACACAGAGAGAGATATTAGTTCATCCTGGTCCTTCAGAGCAGGACTTTGCCAGCTGCCTTGAAGGGAACACCTTTCAAGGAGACAAACTCTTTGATTGTCCTACACAAGAGCCTGCCTTTGACAACAGTGAAAAGCAGATATGTGGGCTGCTTGATGAGGTAGAGAAAAACAAAATATATCACCCTTCTCCTAAGTTACGTTCTTGGACCTTCAACGGAGAGGAGGTTCGGCAATGAAAGACAGATTGACAACAAGGTCGGACAGTTTTTACAATTAACTTATGAAGATCGTGTTGAATTTCAAGACCTGCTTTATGCTGTACATGCCCACAACAGGCAGACCCTGCAGTCAGAACCCTGCTGAGAATTTTTTTCTTGTGCACAATGGGTCCTGCTGACCTGTTTGTTATATTTCTGGGTACTCGCCTGCATGAAGGCAGTTCTGAAAGCTAGATAGCGGTACAAAGCTAATAGCAATTTACCATTTATGAGCTAAACGTCAACTTACAGCAAACCCCACATAGAAACCCAAAATCAGTGAGCCTGTGATTAAGATCTCGGCTGGAGCAAGAACCAGAATCTCGCACACCATCGCAGGCTCGGCAATGACAAGCTGATTATACAAGCAATCAATAAACGATCGAGAAAATGATAGAATTCAAGTAGAGCACAACAGGATTGGTGGTCTGTCTTAAAAGGCCGAGTGGCCAGATTCCATCATTAAATTGCTATGGATGTGTAATTCCATGTACTCACGGTCTGTATACTTCAACTCCCTGTGCCAGCGATTTCTGTTTTAGTTGATAAACAGGAAGTAAGCCTGTTTTGTGAATTCAAATGTGCAGGCAGATAAAAGAGAAGTGCTTCGTGCCAACACAATGCCCCCTTTTAGTGTCTCTGCTACATCTGCTCCGTCCTTGTTTTATTTACTAGTATTTATTTGTTTCACATTCTGCTGTGTCACAGTGTAGGATTTGTTTTCTGCAGTTTGCTACCCCAGTGCATTGCCCGCCTCCCTGATATTAGATCCCTTCCACAATATAATTATTTTTTGTTATCACACGATACACTTTATCAGTAGGAAGGCCACACTTAAAGTGTGGCTTGCTCTCCACACAGCGAAGATGGATTAAAAAGCCTCGCCAGTGTAGCTTTTTAGCTCCCTGATGCACCACAGGGAGGTTTAAGAGATGCTTTTTACCTACAGCTATCTGTGTACTGATGAGTTCCAAAGCATTTTTAGCCTTCCTATCCTGGATGGTTTTTTTTTCCACTTTTCTTGCTTTAAGAGCAATGCACTGCATGGTGAGATCGATTGTGTCAATGTACTGTACTGTCACAGTCGACATCCCCTGTCATTAGTTCTGCATGATTGCTGGTATGTTCTCCAGGTGTTCCTTATTTTGTTCCTCTGTGTGATTTATGTGATTATGTGATGAGGTCAAAGAAGCGTGAGTTTGTTGTCTGTTCTGAAATAACTGTCATGTCCGTGCATTGTTTTTTTACGTCCACGAGCTGTGTTAGCAACTGAATTTTCCCCTTGGGGCTTAATAAAGACTATCATCACAGAAAGCAAAGAGGTCAACATGGAAATCAGGAGTTTATATTAATTGAAAAATGTCTGGGATGTCTGGTCTCTTGCACCTTGATTGTCTAAACCGTTTCAGAGAGGAACAGATCTTAATTTTTGAAAGCGGCCCTGCAATCTGTAACATATTGTACTAAGCTCTCTCAGACTGTCTGAATTTTTGGACATCAGTCAAATGCTGTGATTTATAAACTAACCTTCCTGCAGAGCACTATTAGGATGAATTGTCTTGTCGGTAGTGTAGGATATTTCCTTTCCACACCTTTAAAAGCACCTGTCCCTCTCTGCCCCTTCAGCACTCCAAAGTGAATCTATGAGTCTTTTTTCAAATGAAGGGCTGATACAAGAGTTAGCTGTGTCTGAACACAGCTGAATGGAACATCCCTTCTCCAAAGTCTCCAGCCTCTGACCACCGCAAGTTCCCTTTCGTTAAGTTCAATTCAATTCAATTTATTTTTATATAGCGCCTTCCACAACAAGGTTGCGCCAAGGCGCTTAACAATGCAAATTAAGTCCATCAAGTCATCCAAAACAGCTCCCGACTCCTTAATCCTTGAACTCCAGTGCCGATCATCTGGAATCGATGCACCATTCCCAGGTCTGGAAATTCAGTCCCCAATTTGTCTCACGGAGTGCTGCAGACACTTTGGTCCATGTCTGGATGCTGTGCCCCACCGAGGTCTTTTCATGCTGCCTTGTCTTTAAAGTTGCAATTTGGACTCTGACAAGTGGTTTTGTATAAGACGTCATGGGATCTTTAATGAACAACTACTGGGGGGGCAGGGCTTAGATTAATGTCCCATTATAAAAAATGGTGTTTTGGAAATGGGTCAAAAGAGGAAAATGCCTTCATTGGTGATTTGCAGAAACAGACACTCTGCAGGGTTCTATCTCTGCCTGATCAGTGGAGGGTGTATTGCTGTCATCTGTGACTCCGACTATCCTCCAAATGCAGGGGAACGAATCCAACACTTCTTTCCGGGCATCTCTGCAGATGAAGATATACATCACAGGGTCCAGGAGAGAGTTCACACTCAGCACTCCCAGGGAGATCTGGAAGTAAAGGAAAAGCCTGCTCTCGAAGCCACAGGCATCTTGGACCATAATGATGCCGGTGTACCTGACAGCTCTGATAAAGTGGTAGGGCCCAAAAATGAGCAGGAACATGAGCACGATCAGGAGCAGCAGCCCAGTGATCCTGGTCTTCTCGCGCTTCGAGACGGAGACCGACCGGGCGAGGCTTCTGCGCACGCGCAGGGACACAAACACCAGGAACGAGAGAGGTACAAGGAAGGTGAGAGGGATGGACATCAGCTGGAAGATGGCAAACTCTGTCTTCGCTGGGAAGGCTTCCATGCAAAACGTGTTTGGGCTCTCACTCTCGAAACCAATGTTAAAGCCCGACACGACTCCAGCAATGAAGAACAGCCATACGGCCAGGCAGAGAACACACACTTTCCAGAGCGCCCGCTGGGTCTGGAAGAACAGCGGATGGACGATGGCCAGGTACCTCTCCAGGGAAATGCAGCACATGAAGAAGATGCTGACGAACAAGCTGATGTAGAATGAGCAGCCGATGACCTTGCACACTCCCTTCCCGAAATGCCACTTGTGGCCGCCGTGGTAGTAGTCGATCCAGAGGGGAAGGGTGGCGATCTGGAGGAGGTCGGCCAGGAGGAGGTTGATGGCGTAGATGGGGAGGGCATAGTCGGCCTTGACCAGGCGGTACAGCCCATACAGGGCCAGGCAGTTGGTGGGCAGCCCCACGCAGAAGACGCAGCCATACAGCACAGGAATGAAGGTCTGGTCCACTCTGAGGTCAATGATACAGCCAGTGGAGTTGGAGTTGTTCATGACTGTAACGGGAGAAGTGGAGGGGGCTCAGATGTGTCAGTGCTTGATGATTTCAGAAATCCGTGGCCAGGTCTTCTTTTCAAAGCCTGAACAGGATATGAAAAGAAAAGATGCTGATATAGGAAACAGTCTGTTTTATACCTCTTAACCCCGGAAATCAAATTGTGTTCCAAAACAAGCCATTGCTAAACGGGGTTAAAGTGATTGTGTCTTGCCCTGCCACTTTCACATGAAACCAACATATTGTTGAAGAGGGAGTAGGTCCCAGAGACAATTTTAAATAGACGTTCACCATGACTGTTTAGTACTGCGTTAGCTTCTTCAATATTCAGTGTGCATCTCTAATCAAAGTGCTTTTATGTTAAAAATCAATTCCCTGCAAAGATGGTGGCTTTCATTATTATCGCCCCGTGTGTAAGGGACAGTGGAAACTTGCACAAAGTCAGATTTTTCTCCTTAGTTTTCCTTTTGAGTTTTTTTTTCCCAAGGCATTCTTATCCACTGGGATTAGAGAACAAATTACGGGGAATCTAGTGAATACGACATTCAGTACTGAACGTGTTTAATGCTACGACTGTACAGGGAATTTTCCTTGCCACCTGAGTCTCCTGCTTCCTGTGGAGGTTTTGTTACTACTCCAGGTCCAATCTAAGGCAAGACTGGGGTGGCTGCTGACAAGGGAGTGAAGGTATTGGAGCGTTCCGTCCAATGGTATACAAATTCCCTAGGTGTGGATAACACTTATTATAACTAGGTGGCCAGCAGGGTTAAGGATTTCAGGTGACCTGCCACTAGAGGGCGGTAGGGACTCTACTGTGCGTATATAGGTTTGCATGGGGAAGAAAATCAGGGAAAGGCAGACAGTCACATTCTCACAAGGGGTTAATTTTGATGAGTTTGGAATATAAAGACGCTGAGGACTTTATATGGAGTAAAGTCTCTTTGCACAGTATCTCTGCTTCCCTTTGTCTCCGTTCATGTGCTCAGGCAGGGACTCTCGGCCTCAACACACATTTCCATCACGCCTGTGTATCTTGACTGTGTATCTTCTCCGTGTGTGGCTTCCTGTGCTTCCACCACAGCTTGCTCTGGCAGGAGTCCGAGACAGACATCAATCAACCAACGTCTATTTCTCAAATGCACAACAACACAGCATGCAGCAGTAGTTGCTGGCAATGAAATGTCTTTTCTACGAGCTCACCGAGGGGGGATATAAATCACAAAGTTAAGGTTGCAAAATAAGGTAATAGTAACAGATAATAGTGCAATCGAAATTGAATAAGATAAACTCGGACCAAACTCAATATAAAAAGAGCTGCTATGTGTCCAGGTTGTATGTTATATATTATTACAGGTGGGTAGCTGCGTCAGCATGCGTAGGCTGCAAAGGAACAAGTAATAGGTTTATTCCATGCTGAAAAAAAAGAAGAAAGAAAACACAACGTTTGAGCTCACACCTGAAGGAGGCTCCACGGCCACGTTCTTTCTTCTTTTTCAGAAGGGAATAAACCTTGTTCCTCTGTAATATAGTATGTGCAAGTAGTGCAGTATGCCGAATACAATGAAAACTGCATGTCCATGACAGAGCCTCACAGAGCTGAAAGCATGGAAAGAGTGGCTGAATTCCCCCCCTCCTTGCAGCAGCTCAAACGCCACCCCCTGTGGGACAAAGACACAGCCCGGCGGCGCAGACGTCCATGTCCTAAGAACCTGATGGACACTCACGTGCAGGCCCGGACGTGGAGACGCTGGCTTCGAAGAGGATTTCTGCCCGGTGTTGTGCAGTGACTTCTGAGCCTCTGGGCGTCAGCACCTGGTGAGGGAGGCTGTAATTTGAGCTGCAGTGTGCGGAGAGCAAGGGCAGTGCCACGCCCACTGCCTCCGCAGACCATGTGCAGGCTTTCCTGGGAGGGCATGTAGAAAAGAAGGCAGGGGATGGGGTGGGTCAGAGTCCTACACCTTCTTTGATTGTTTCTGAAATCCACACCGGGGTTTTAATATTGGAGAGAATTGTGCGCTCAGCCTCGAAAATCATCTGCTGTGAGTTGACCTGCATCTCTGACATCCGTGAGACTCACTTGCTGCACAAAAGATTTCAAATACTCCGAGACGCTGCACATGCTGCAAATTCCCTTTTTATACCCCTTCCCTCAGGAAAAAAGAACCATTAAGACCAAAACGTCTCATTTCCTTAAAAGTACTTACTGTAAGACTATTCGGATGCTGAATGGCTTTCCAATTACACGTTAGTACCTCATGATGACTATTGACAATGTAAATGGACTACAAACCCCTTTAATGCTCCAGTTATTTGATTTCATTATAATATTGTATGAGATTCTTTCCTGTTGCCTCATGGTTTCCTGCTATGCTGTGTTTAATGTTTTTGTTGATATTGTTATGTTGTCTTATGGTTCAACTGTCATGAGCACACTGAGGCAAATTCCCAACAACTAAGTTGGTATTTTCAGGAAGTGTTTTACTTGTTTTGGAACAAGGCCTCAGACCGCAGATATTCTTGGTGCTAATTATTTAGACAGTAATGTTTAACACAATGTCTTAAATAGGGAAGGACTCATTTAATTTAGGCTATAATTTAAAGGATCATTTCCTAAACAAACCAAAGGACTGAGACCCTTTCAACAACAGACTTGTATGACATATAAATTCCGGAGGCCGTTAAGCCCCTAAAATATGGCTTGTGGAAAAAGGGCTGATGTGTACTTTGTCTGTGTGCTTCTGGATGCTAGAAAAGGAAACATTTATCTCTGAGCTTACACGCTAATAAACTGTATTTCCTACTCCTGCAAGGGGCAGGAAATGTGAAAAAAGTACAAAAATACAAACTGTGCAGAGGGTGGATCATTATGCGAGGTCGTTGCCAAAGGATGTAATAATTGTAACCACTAACGAAGCCAGACATTTACACTACATCTCAAATCAAGGTTTCCATTTATCAGCTGCATCACATTTCCACTGCTGGTAATTTCTTAACAACTTGGTTTGCCTTCACCTAAATATTACACCAAATTTAACACACCCGAAGAAGGCTCCACCGCTGAAACATTGTGTCTCTTTTCCTCTCATTTCAGCATGGAATACAGTTTGACCTGTTTCTAAATGTAACAATGTCACTTTGTTATGAAACTGAAGTCCAGTGCCAGCAACCACTCACTCCAAATTCGTAAAAAATATCACTAAACCAGCAAATCTGAACCAATGAAACTCTTCCTGGAGATCTAGGTCAGGTTTAATTTCATACACATTACATACAGTAAACCTGTACATTTCAAATTGTAATTCAGAATGGGTTAATGCATCATCTCAGATTGGGTCATTATCGCAAGCTCAGCACAGCCAGGGACTGTGATACAGCACATCTTTAATTATGGTGCCTGAATATCTTATCTTTGTTAAGACCTTGGCAGCTTTACATTGTGACTTTGGATTTAGGCTCATTCAATTTGGGTGTTCAGTAGACCTCTCTCTCTGACTCGGACACTGGTGTTGTACCTTAATTGATTTACTTTACCCCAGTTGCTCCAAACCACCCAGCTGCATAAATGAGGACCTGCATAGCTCCGTCAAGCTGGCCCCCCTACACACTCCAGAAATAGAGAAACCCGCCGCCTTCTTTAGTGCTTCATTATGGCCAGCAGCCATATCATCCTGTAACTCACAACTGTCAGCCCACTGAAGCACAGCAGGTCTTCCATTCGGGAACACTTAATTGCTTAATTGAAGTTGAATAATTGCTTAATTCGACAAGCCAAAGCCACTGCTTGTTCTGAAGAAGCTGAACAAGTTGCCGAGAGTCATATCACCCTGCAGCTCACAGCTGGCAGCCCCACTGAAGCTCAGCAGGTGTGAGCCTGGTCAATACCTGGATGGGAGACTCCTGGGAAAGCTAAGGTTGCTGCTGGAAGAGGTGTTAGTGGAACCAGTAGGGGGCACTCACCCTGCGGTCTGTGTTGGTCCTAATGCCCCAGTACAGTGACGGGGACACTAGACTGTAAAAAGACGCCATCCTTTGGATGAGACGTAAAACCGAGGTCCTGACACTCATTAAAAAAAAACACAGGGCATTTCTTGAAAAGAGTAGGGGTGTTACTCCGGCGTCCTGGCCAAATTTCCCCCTGGTCTTTACCAATCATGGCCTCCTAACAATCCCCCTCTGTGAATTGGCTTCATCACTCTGTTCTCCTCCCCACTAATAGTGGATGTGTGGTGAGTGTTCTGGCGCACTATGGCTGCCGTCACATCATCCAGGTGGGGCTGCAGATTGGTGGTGGTGGTGGAGGGGAGTCCCCATTACCTGCAAAGCACTTTGAGTGGAGTTTCCAGAAAAGCACTATATACTGTAAGTGTAAGCAATCATTATTATTATTATTAGTGCCGGTTTGTGCCATTCAAAATAGATCCCAAGCTGCTTCGTTCGTGAGATATAGCACCTTCTTTTTTCAGGGGTGTCCCCTGTAACGGTGTCAGAGACCGAAGGCGGAGGTGCCGATAAACGCTAATCCAAGGATGCAGTCAGGAGAGATGCTCTAGCCTTGATACTGGGGATGAACAAACTCAAAGGATTCAGTAGACGTGAAGGAGAAGGCCTTAATATTAATAATAAAAATTGCTTACATTTATATTGCGCTTTTCTGGACTCTCCACTCAAAGCCCTTTACAGGTAAAGGGGAATCCCACTACCACCACCAATGTTCAGCATCCATCTGGATGATAGCCCTAGCGGGGTAAACCCAATATTGAGCGGAGAGGATACTGTGAGAAGTCCTTAAGTATGAAAGTACTGCGGGATGTGGTAGGGAAATGGGAAGAAGATAGGTCAATGAATTCCGAGGTTGCCGCCTACGGAAATTGGCGGAGGTAAAGGTCTGTCTATGCTGAGGTCTGTGGTTGTGGGGCGCTGAAGACTTGACACATACGGGGTTACAAACTAGCAAATATATGTCTGTGCTAAGTACACCACGATATATAAACAGTGACAAAGTGCTGTGATAATTCTGTGGCCGAGCGTTTGTATAGAAACGCCGTTCTTGTATATTTTAAACGGCTCTGGTTTCGTGATTGTGAATTAGAGTGGAGCATTTTTGCATAGAAATCTATGTCAATTCAAACGCCTGGAGTTATTATACATTCCTTTGGTTTAGTATTTGCATAAATAAATGAGCTATTAATAAAATAAGCCTTTATCTTTTTTAAGATAATATATTCTGCTGGTGTGTGCTCAGGCCAGCATTAATCTCCATGGTACTCAAAGGTTCAATCGTGTTGATTTAGTTGTTTATTTGTGTTTTATATAATAAGTGCGTGTATAAATCTTATTCTATTCATGATTGACTTTTCTATTCAAGCTTTTTTCTGAGATATAAATAGCAAAAGCAGGCTTTGTAACGAACAGTTCTTTCCAGACCCTATGCGGACGACACAATCCGGAATAGTGAGGAAACACTGGGGAAAAAGCCACGCAGGAAACGGGGATCAAAAGAGGGGGGGGGCGTGTCCTTGGTGCAGGGGTTCAGGGGAGTGAGTCCAGGGCAAACAATCCAGTAGAAATCCAAAGGGGGAATCCAAACACGAGCAAAGTCCATCCAAAAACAGACAAGATAAAACCTGGAACCGTTTCGCAAAAGATGTGGGGAATGACCCGCTGTCCTCAATGCCTCCCCCCCCAATGGTTCAGACAAAAGACTTCATTAAATGAATGATCTTAATTTCTCAGAATAAAATTACCATTTGGGTAGGTTGCAGTAAGGAAATTGTAAGGAAAACCCAGGAGCTCAGGGAACCGAACTTGGATTGAATAGTTTAGTCGTGTTTCCTTATTTATACATCCACATCATACTAATATATTTTAAATATATTAATACACATGATCTCTTTTCTTCAGTAAGATAATAAATATTGCTGTTTATATCAGTACTATGTGAGTGAATTAGTTTGTAATCTAATAGGGGTTTGAACTTTCTGATACATACCGGGAGCTGGTTTCCTCTGTTTGAGTCAGTACAGAAGGCAGGAAACATAACTCATCTGCACTTCCCCACACTTTTACTCAGCTCTTGTGTCGTTCTCCAGCACATATTGTGTACCTCATCCTGTTATCCATCCTGCAAAGAGCAGACAAAGAACGGTTATTTAAATCAGAAGAACAATTTAATCGCTGGAACTGCAGTATGTTTGGTATAAATTCAAATCCAAGGAATGCGACACATGAGGCAAAAGCAGAGAGCTTTTTCAAAGTAACCGTAGTACATCAGAAGTTTTTTCCACTGCAATTGTCCCCTGTATTGCTACAAGTGTGTACGAACTACCAAAACCCATCTAACATGAATCCACATTTATCAGTCTGAAAAAGCCTTCAACGGCCTTGTTGAAACTTGCTTTGAAAGCACGCCAGTAAATAGATATGGATCAGTAATGCACTTGCTATGGGTTTGATGGATATCAGGTTTATTTACCGGTTATTCAAGGTATGTGCATGGAGAGGAGGTCAAGGACTCGGCCTACCCGATGTTTGGTTATTAAGACACTTTCTCTTTCTCACTTCAGAGAGCAGAGGAACAGTTTTGCTGCTGTTTTTTTTTGTGTTTGTGGTTTCCATGTTGCTGTTTGCATTTCTTCTTCATTTCTATCCCCATTTGCATGACATATTTTAAGAATTAGACCAACCACATGTCTCTAGATGTGTGAACACTTCTTTCTTGATTGCTTGGCTAATTACATTCCTTTCTCAGGGTTTTAGAGCTCCAAGTGATCTGGAAAATAAGTTTTCTTCAAAATCCAGTAACACAGCAACTTTAGAGTTCACACTAGAAGTGTCTAACCCATGCTCACTCACCAAGTCAGCTTTTTTGGATTTGTAAATAATTCTGTGACCCCAAGAAAACACCATGTTATTATCAGTTCAATCAGAATCTCAGGTTGACTGTGCCATATATGAGAATGTCTGCATGAGAGTGGGCAGAAATACAGGCTTCACTCTAATTGGTTTATGTCTCCAAGCTGGCAGCCGGCACAGTGACCTTATCTAAAGAGGACATCGGAAAGGACATAAAAGAGTTAGTGGATTGTTCCATCTTTGTGAAGGCCACAGTGTTCACCCAGACTGGTGAGTGTTTTTTTCACGAACTAAGCCTTTGTTAATCCAGGTACTAATGAAAGTGAGGGGAATCACTCACTCCCGAGTTGCTGATGTCATCGAAGCCTCTCCCACACTGTGACCCAGCGACAGCACTGTGCACCCAGGCTGAGACCTCTAAGACTAGCAAGAACACAAAGAATTGGAGAGGAGTTGTCTGCACTCAAGTGTCTGTGTGGTTCTAGTTTCCAAGTGATTAGGTAGAGAACTTTGTAACTGATCATATTTGGATTTAAGTTCTGAAATGTGTGCATGGTACTGCCAACACCTAAAAAGGTATCCTGAGCTGTATGTGTGCAGAAATCTGCGAAAGATGGCACAAGTACACAATGTGGCCTTCGCCTATAGGTAATTGTTTTATTGCAGCCACTTAAGATTTCCTGGCATCCAAATGGAAGTCACGTTTCTGAAAAATTTTAATGCATCATGTTGTTTGTCTCAGGGCCACAGCAACTAAAGAAAACATCAGAAAAAGTTGTCAGAGTTAGTAAAAACCTGTAAAAGCCAATAAGACTTATTCTACAAGGATTAAAAAAATACCGTCACAGACAAATAAACTGGCGTCCTTCTTGTGGAACACATCTGGTGACTCTATTGGCACTCCTTGTGTTTACTTCACTCTCTTGGAGTTTTTACAGTACTCGTGCTCAGTAGCACAAGGACAAGTCCCTGTCCAAGACAGTTTGAAAGAGTTATTTACAAATAACATGCCAAGTATACAAGTCTGAAAGTAAGTTAATGGAGAATTGAGTCAGAGAGGGCTCCTGCATTATACTTATGTTTTTGTCCCATGTGTGCTCAAATTCATTTTACTGAAGTGGAGTTTTGAACCAAAGTTCAAGAGGGACGACAGCATCTGAGAGATCCCTCACCTCCTTCACTTGTACTCATGATCCACCACGAGGTCATTTCCTTGCTTTCCCACTTCCAGCTTGATCAACTGCTCACTCCGCACGAGGATCCTTACTTCCCAGCCAAAATGGCTGAACATCTCCAAAACACCTATTCTTAAGGTTGCCACGAACCATGAAGGTTGCCACGTGTTGAAATCATACAATAATAAATCATTCCTTACACTTATACTTACACTCCACTCAGAGCACTTTACAGGTAATGGGGAATCACACCACCACCACCAGTGTGCAGCCCCACCTGGAAGATGCTCCAGTACTCTCACCACACACCAGCTCTCAGTGGGGAGTCATGGAGCCAGTTCCATGAGGGGGATTATTAGGAGGCCATGATTGGTAAAGATCAGGGGAAAATTTGGCCAGGACACCAGTGAAACACCCCTACTCTTCTCAAGAAACACTGTGGGATTTTTAATGACCACAAAGAGTCATAACTTCAGTTTTATATCTCATATGTAGCAAGGTGGCCAGTTTTACAGTCTAGTGTCCCCGTTGCTATACTGGGGCATTAGGACCCACACAGACCACAGGGTGAGCGCCCCCTGCTGGCCCCACTAACACCTCTTCCAGCAGCAGCCTTAGCTTTCCCCAGGAGTCTCCCATCCAGGTACTGACCAGACTCACACCTGATGAGCTTCAGTGGGGTTCCGGCTGTGAGCTGCAGGGTGATATGGCTGCTGCCACATCGCTTATTGTCCTCCTTTGAAGGGGAATGGGGGGATCCCACGCAGATAAGCTACACCTCTCTGGTTTATGCCAGAGTCAAGCCGCGTGCCAATTGGAGCCGTGACTCTCTGGCAGCTGGGAGTTTCAGAGGAGCTTGTCCCCATCTCCCTGTTCTCGACTCGCGCCGCACGAATCACAGCCAGGTCCTAAAAAAGGCAACGGCTCCTCCTCCTCTTCCCGCTGTGGTGATGCTACCGAAAGAATGAAGCCGAAGCACCGCAGTGTGATGAGGACTCAGCTCTCCAAACTGCCATTCTCCCCCACTCGGACCTCTGCGTCACGGTCGTCGCCCCTCCTCTAGAGGGCGCTCCTGCCTTTTTTGCATTATGTTTAGTTTAAGTACCTGGACCTGCGTCTTGTCCCCCTTTTCGTTATTTAAGCCCGGGTCTCCGCAGTTCTGGGCTCAGCTTTGGCAGACGGGCGACTGAAGGCCCGCCTATCCACCGGGCTCAGGAGCGGCCCAAGGGCACAGGCCTTATCCCCAGATGTCCTGACCGTCTGAGTCCGGGGCTCAGAGTGCCCAGTACCGTTATGTTTTTATCCCTCCGTGTTCCTGATCCCAGTTCCCCTTTCCGGTTTCTAACTGTCTTTTGTCTCGGATGGACCTCCTGGCCTTGGACATTGGACATCCCTTGGATTCATTTCCTCATTCACCGGATCACCACTGTTCCCCCTGTCTGTTGACCCGACCTTCCCCGATGTGTTTCTCCAGACACTTCCTGATTATACCATCACGCATGGGGTCTTTAACAACACACTGCACAGGAGTGGGAACCAGCTCTGAGAGATAAGACACACCCACGATACAAGAAGTAGAACATTACTTAGCTTTAAAAACAATGTGATGACAACAGGGTTTTTCTGTACCAAATAATTCTAGGAAGGAGGAAGTGGGCAGTTTCAATGTGAAAGCAACCTTCTGCACTGCCCTCTTCCAACTACAGGTTGATTTGTGATGAACCCTGATGGGTCCCCAGCTGAAAACATGCCCTCAATGTGGAACCAGGCTCATTCTTAACAACCACAGAAACCAATGGGGGTGGCCATCAGTTATGTGAAAATGCAAGTGACAGTTAGAAATATAACCGCCAGTTTCAGATCTGCCTCTGCCCAAAACCTCTATTTCACTGTGTGGAAAAAAAAAAAACCCAAAAGCTACAAACTAAATGAAAGCCTAAGCTGCTCTTTGTGCTCTAAATTAAACTTCTTTCTGTTCCATTTTCCAACAAAATAGGAAGCTAAGCTGATTAGTAATTTACCGACTCCAAATCTTTTTTTTTGAAAGAAAAAAAGTCTCACTTGTTCTCTAATATTTATGTTGTTCTTAATTAATAAACGTTCCCTATGTACTTCATTTTGCTGTGACTTTCTGGTCCCTAACCCAATACTGTATATCTCCTCCCTGGTTTTGTTAGCAACCATTTTTGCTAAAAAAATAAAATAAAATAATGACCCTGTGCAGGGCTCAACCTGGCGATGTCCCTGTGCTGTTGTTGGAAGTCCTTATAGAAAATGTTACAAAACCGCAAGTCCTATTTATCAAAAACTGCTGGGCAGGCAAAAGCAAAAAATCGGGCTGTGACAGTTCAATCGAGACAGCAAATCCAAATCGCAAAGGCAGAAACGAGGTCAGAAACTAGCGAGAGTCCAGAAAGTACACAAAGGCAAACAACTCAGATCTACTGTATTGAGCTTTTCAAAAACCAGGACTACAACATTCCAAACCAACACTAAATAAACACTTGTACTGTATATGCTGCTAGAATAAATATAATCATTAACTGAGCAGTCACTGGGAGCGGATCTCCTTCCCATCCACAAAGGCCTTCGCTCCCACAAAGTCGGCTCTCCTCCCTTCTCTTCTGGCAGCTTCAACCTGGGGCCACGGCTGGTTCCTGGTGCTCCTGTCCGCGGCGGACAGCTCCTCTGCAATTCTCAGTTTATTCCCATTCAAATGCTCATTCTCTCCCACCGCTCGCCATAGTATGTCCCTCGCCGCCCTCTTTGTAAACTGGATCATAACCACTCTAGGGCACACTTGTCCAGACACGTTGGCTCTCCCGACCCAGTGAACAGTATCATTGGCCGATGCCACCTCATCCCGGTCCGGCAAGGATCCTTTTACAGATACCCTTCACAGTCGCAACAATGTTCTCATCTCGTTCCGCCTTAAATCCAAATCATTTTAAATTCCACCGTCGATGGTATCTTTCTGCATCGTTCACTTTCAGTTCAAGGTCTTTAATCTGCTTTTCTTGTTCAGCATTTACTCATTTAAGAACTTTTACTTCATTCTTTAAACAGAGTCCATGGACTTAAGACCTTCAATTCCTGCTGAATTCCATCTCATCATCTCCTTCAGCTCAACTATGCTCTTTGGCACCATGTTGAAGATGTTGGTCTGGAGCTCCTCCAGCGTCAGCCCGCCGGAGTTTTTGTGGGTGTCCCGGGCAGGGACTCCAGCTCTTCCTCCGGCAGCCGAGTCTCACTCGGGCTGCAAGCACCCGCCTACGAGTGAGTCTCCATTCTTATTTCCACATCACCTCCAGCTGCTTCACTTCTCCCTTTATCTCATGAGACCTAAACGTGGAATAGGAGGATCCTTATGCGTGACTGGAATCCCACAGGACACAGAGTAGCAAAGGGACAATCCAAAAGACAAAATCAAAAGGCTGAGTCGATAAGGGAGGCAGAGGGTCCGGTAACGAGAGATATCCAGAAACAATCCAAAAGTCAAAATCCAGAAGGCAAGGTCAAGAGGCGGAAGCAGAAGATTCATAACAGGAGATCAGTCAAAAGGTTTGGAAACACACACTGAAGAATACTACAAAAGGCTTCTCAATAGTGAGCATGGGAAGGTGTGCGAAGGGGGTTTAAATACTGAATGGAAAGGGGTGTGATTGGATGATTGGTTAGGGAGTGAGAATTTGAGGAATCTGATGCATGTGAGAATGTGATGGGTTTAATCAGGGATGAGATTGTGAAGCAGAGGTTCCGGGAATGTAACGTCGTTTGCGAGGGAGAGTGTGGAATGTGACAGGGACAGAACTTCGTTTCCGAGTTAGAGTGTGGGGCGTGACACTTTAGTTGCCGTTGATTTTCATGTAGTGCTATACATACACGATTGAGGTATCTTATACTTCCCTTTCGACGACCCAGCACCCTCTTTTCTTTTCCCAGTGCTACCTTATTAGCTTTTTTAAACAAATTATTACCGAAGTCTAAACAACTAGTGTTAATTCCTGTTATAATATTTCTGCAGTCAAAAAAAGCACACAAAAAAACAAAGTCATGGAAAAACTCACAAATTCCTTCTCAGCCTCCAAAGTTCGCCTCCCACCTGAACGCCATCCTGAACGCTCCCGGGCGCGACAGGAAGACTCCCTGTGGTGGGTGCGTCTGTTTAAGTGGGTGAGCGTGGGAATGTGATGGCGTTTGTCAGAGCCTGCTGAATGCTTGACAGGTTTTAAATCTCATCTGACAAATTCATTCTTCTTCCTACTGTGTCTGTCAGGTGACTAAGGACCTTCTGGGAAACGTAATTTCAGGCAAGAAAGCTCAATCTTGTTCAGACTTGCTGCCCTCCTCAACACCTTAACTAAGACCTTAGCTAAAAATTAAAGACACAAATTAACCTCATTTTGTGTAGATAATTCTTACGGACACCCTTAATATCTGCCAATTTAATGTCTACCAATTTCTTTCACGTCCAGCCATTTAATACAACCATGTGCAATACTTCAAATACTGTACAGCTGCTGTTAGAAGATCATACTGTAATCCCTGGGGTCTTTTTGAAATTAAGTAACATTTATTAAAACTGTGCTGGTACTGTTTTCACTTGTTACAGTAGTCCTGGTCAGTTCCCGTTTTCTAGTTCTCTGTGACCCAAATGCACAGCCGAGATCAATTGTTTTAAGAAAAACTTATTATAGCCAACACAAAAATGTTGCAGTATGAAACTAAATTTGGAATGTCGCCAAAGTGCCGAACCACTTCTGCTCTGACCTGCAATGTCTGACATTTTGTCTGATGATGTTACATTTATGATAGCATTAATAATTGTACTACGTGAGACAATAGTTATCTTGCTGACTGATAAACGCCTTTAAAGCCTGATTGGTTTGTAGAGAAACAGAACGTAAAAACAAGTAACAAAACAAATGTTCAGTAACATGTCACATTTCCCAGTACATCCCTTAAAGGGGGCAGGATGTCTTGTAAGCTAAGGGAGAAGAGATGAGCCCTGGACATTCCCAGAGGTGGACAAAATAAAAAATGTGATCAGTCAAAAGCTGTTTACAGTCAGCCCAGTCTGAGTTTTGATTGCGTGTGTCACTGTGGTGTGATGTGGTCACTGCTATCCTTAAGGAATTTTTCTCTCTCAATGGGCCTGAGAGAAAGGCAGAAGTATTTGATCACTGTTATATATAAATGGGAAATTGCTTCACAAATTGTTTTAGAAAGAGCATAAGGGAGGACTTATTGTACCAGCTCAGAGTGAGGGATAGCCAGGACACTGGGTTGACACCCCTACTCTTACTGACAGTGTCCTGGGATCTG